AATCTCTTAAACAGAAACTTGTTAATTGACTTCACGTTTAGAAAAATTAAAGCTTAAAACCTGGTGGAAAGGGACCGGTTCCGAATGATACGATTAGGAGGGACTAAACTGGGGCGATATTCGACATCTGAGCAAGTGCTCGAATCCCTTCTGAAAGAAACAATAGAAAGTCAGACACCAAAACATTTCAACCAAGAAAAGAAGCGAATTTCTAAAAACCTAAAAGAAAAAAAAAACTGATGACCTCGCTACATTTTGTTGAGTTTTAGTTTGAGGATTTCTCCTCTGATAAACCACGTCAATTTTGGGTTCTTTAGACTTGGCAGAACGCTGGGCGCACTCTTGTTGCTCGGAAGCTATGAGCTCCGCCCACAAATCACCTGCATCTCCATAAATGCAAAAGAATCGATCAAAGAAGTAGAGACAAGAAATTATTTTGTGTTCTTAAATCTTTGTATACCTGCACGAGAAGACATGGTATGAAGCTGCGATTCTGATCCCAAAATTTTGAATTTGAGGTGTGGTTTGAACGTGGGATGCGTTAACGTTAAAGTTTAAACTGTTCGTGTCATTTGAGAGAAGACAAAAGAATTATGAAATTTTAGTCCTCTTTTATCAAATATTTAGTCCTCTTTTATCAAATAGGGTTTCCATATTTAGTCCTCTTTTATCAAATATTACCCCCGTAGTCCTTTTTTTAAGGGTACCTTTCCACAAATGGTCCTTTTTTTGATCTTCTACCGTGTTGGCGTTAATTTAAAGGCTAAAAGTATAATTTGACATCAACATTATGTCTAGAGACGTGTTCTGATATTGGTTAAGCGGATAACACAAAAATAATAACTATGATTGTAGACTATGATTGTAGTAAAAAGCGACTGTAATTCACAAACGACGCAAACGGAACAGCCTTTGGAATTGTGTATGACAAAAAAGATATACTACCTCCGTCCCATAGTATTTGTCCACTTTCATTTTTACACACCATCCAATGCACTTCTTTAATCCATTTTATCTTGTAATTTGTATATTAAAAAATTATAGAAATTATATATTAATAATCTACATGTTAAGACAAATCAAACAAGATCACACATGACTATATTTAGGCTTACACATTGAGAGAATTTGATGAGTCAAAGTGCTTAGATGAAAAGTTCCAAAAGTCAAAAGTGGACGAATATAGCGGGACGGAGGGAGTATTATCATTTTGAAATTACACTTTTAGCTCTCAAATTAACACCAACATGATAGAAGATAAAAAAGACTATTTGTGGAAAGATACTCATAAAAGAAGGACCACTGGGGTAATATTTGATAATAGAGTACTAAATAGGGAAACCCCCTGTTATAAAGGACCAATTATAGAATTTACTCGAAATTTTACTAGTAAAACGAGTCACTCTTATTTTGATTTTAAATTTTTTATTTCATTTTTTTATTTCAAACACATTTTTTTAAAAACTTTTTTAAAAATGTAATATTGGATTAAGAAAAATCCCTAATCCATGGACGGAAAAGCGGTTTCCATCACTAGCGCCACCCGTGGGACCGCTCCATCTTCATAGGTCCTTCACATGGACGGATTTGGCCTCCAGTGGACCGCTCCATCTTCATAGGTCCTTCACATGGACAGATTTGGCCTCTAGTGGACCGCTCTATCTTCATGGGTCCCTCAAATGGACAGATTTTGCCTCAAGTGGACCGCCCCATCCTCATGGCTCCTTCACATGGACGGATTTTGCCTCCAGTTGACCGCTCCAACTTCATGGGTCCCTCAAATGGACGGATTTTGCCTCAAGTAGACCGCTCCATCCTCATGGCTCCTTCAAATGGACGGATTTGGCCTCCAGTGGACCGCTCCAACTTCATGGGTCCCTCAAATGGACAGATCAAGCCTCAGGTGATCCGTTCCGAGTTGTATAAGTTGATAAAAGTAATAATGTAAAAGAATAGAAGGCAGAGGTCAGTAATTAGATCAAGTTAGGTGATCGGATTACTGGAGAATATAAAGCAGAGGTCAGTAATTAGATCAAGTTAAGTGATAGAATTACTAGAGATAGTCATAGACTCCCGTACCGAGGTTGAGGAAAGATAGGATAAGAAAAAGGATTGGGGCTTAAGGATGGGCTGAAGCCCAACCCATTAAGAACAAACTACCCAAAAGGAAAGAATCCTATAAAGAGATTAGAGTAGGCCCCCCCTCAATTGGAGGGACAGGGACGAAGAGAAAGGTGGACGGAGATTGTCTATAATTCAATAAGAGCGGAGCGCCCAACCACCGTCAGATAGATATCAGGTGAGGGTTTAGAGGCTCCCAAAGAATATTGAAAAAAGTGCCCCGAGAAAAGCCCTCTTCTCAGAGGCAACGAATCCCCGAGAAAAGCCCTCTTCCTAGAGGCAACAAATCCTCGAGAAAAGTCCTCTTCCAAGGGGTACCGAGCTCTGAGAAAAGTCCTCTTCCCCGAGGCACCAAATCCTCTTCCAAGAGGCACAAAGTCCCGAGAAAGTCATCTTCCAAAGAGGCACAAAGTCCCGAGAAAGTCATCTTCCAAAGAGGCACAAAGTCCCGAGAAGGTCCTCTTCCAAAGAGGCACAAAGTCCCGAGAGAGTCCTCTTCCAAAGAGGCACAAAGTCCCGAGAGAGTCCTCTTCTAAAGAGGCACAAAGTCCCGAGAAAGTCCTCTTCCAAAGAGGCACAAAGTCCTGAAAGAGTCATCTTCCAAAGAGGCACAAAGTCCCGAAAGAGTCATCTTCCAAAGAGACACAAAGTCCCGAGAAAGCCCTCTTCCAAAGAGGCACAAAGTCCCGAGAAAGTCCTCTTTCAAAGAGGCACAAAGCCTGAGAAAGTCCTCTTTCGAAGAGGCACAAAGTCCCGAGAAGGTCCTCTTCTAAAGAGGCACAAATCCCTGAGAAAAGTCCTCTTCCAAGAGGCACCAAATCCCCGAGAAAAGTCCTCTTTCGAGAGACATTAAGTTAAATCCTTACCCACAAGGTAACGAGACCCTCCAAAAAAAGATGGTCCTCTTGCCGAGGTTCCAAGAAAAGTTTTATCCCATGAGACAACCCACCGAGTTATATAGTTTTTTATCTGTCTCGTTCCTCGAGACAGACTCAAAACTAGGGGGCATGTGATGGATTAGGGATTTTTCCTAATCCAATATTATTTGAACAGTACAAGAAAGCCCAATTTTATCCGGCCCAAGATATAAATCAGATAAATTATTCAAGACAGAACCAGAGATATATGGACAGAAGAATATATTTAAAGTGATGTAAAAATATTTAGTGGAGCCCATATACTAAACATATGCACATGGAGGTGACATGGCCACCTCATGGCATTGTTGGGATGCATGCATATACTCCCCTTTAAATACAATACTACGAAGAGGGGAAGAGGAGAGACCAATGATTCTCCTACGAGGCTACATACTCAAGGAGGCCAATTTCCTACTAGTTCTACTATTATTCTTCATTCTTCTCCTTCTCTTAGCTTGGAGCTCCATTAATGGCTCCAAGCTCCTATAGTGATGTATATGTAAATTACCCCGAGATTAATAAAAGTTCCTCCCCCTTTGGCATGGCATCGCCTAAAAAGGCCCGTGATTTTCTCCCGATTTGGGTTTCCACGTATAAATACTTTCTCTCCGCTTTATTTATTTATTTAATTTCTGGATTTCGCTATTCGGTGCGGTGCCGACCCGGTACCGATTTCATCGGGTCGATGCCCCGAAAAAAGCGGTTTCCATCACTGGCGCCACCCGTGGGACCCGTCACAAAAAGCTTTTGTGCTCCGAGTCCGTAATGGAGAAAAAAAAAGTGAGTTGAGAAAGTAAAAGAAAAAAGACAAAACAAAAAAGATGGAGAGAGAGAGGTTGAAGGGAAAAGGGCAGAAGAGAAAAAACAAACTCCCTACTCTTCTGCATCATGTTGATTGTGTTTGAAATAAAAAATTTAACATATATTTATATGTTTGAAAAAAATGGGATTATTCATTATTATATGCAATTCAATAGTAGGTGAGATTATTTTGCGCAACTTCACAAAAAAAGAAATTATTTTGGCAAATAAGAAAACAAAAGAATTTCTAACTTATCATTCTAGTAACTTTTTCTGTCAATAGTATAATCGGTAACTCAAAACACACAATTTAAAAACTAGGGTTACTTTACGTAATATTAAAAAATAAAATTATTTTTGAAAGATCCTTAAAAAATGATAACTTCAAATAATTTTATATTTTAATTTAATAAGGTGTAATTTTATTTTACATATTTCTTACTTTCTTAAATGGTGCGTAAATGACTTCTGAACTGATCGAACCAAATATATTCGGCAGGCCCGCCCATTAGCAAGTTCAATATGTGCAATAGAACAGGGCATCTAAAATAAAGGGGCTCATATTTTTTATACCTTTAGCCCAATTAAAATTATAAGTTACATGCCCAATACTCTAATTACCAAATACTCTGTATATTACTAAAGAGTAAATTTCATAAGAGGGCCTCAGTTATACGTCGTTTTACATATTTATGGATGTAAAATCAAATATTACTAATTTAGTCTCCAATAATTATATTATTTTTCACTAATGGTCCTTTGTTAATATTTTTGTTAAGAGCATGAATACAATTGTATATTCATACTTCTCTCTCCTCAATTAAGCTTTCTTCCTCCTCTCGTATTCTTTCAATTATTAGCTTTTTGGTGGAACTTAAAATCAAAACTAATAAGCTTTATGGATGAGTTTTATCAGTTAGTCTCAAGAAATTACAAAGAAAATAAACATTAAAACTCATCCATGAAGGTTAATGATTTTGAATTTGGGCTCCACCAGTTAGAAAAACAATTGAGGGATGAGTAGTGATTACAGTTTTGGATTCAATGCTTCAAACTCAGCAACGAGTTTGGGAAAGAAGTGCGAGGGAGGAGGAAGGTTGTTAAAGAGAGAAATGAGCTTGAATTTAAAATTTTATTATCTACCTTACCCCTATCTAACGACACACTCATAGACTTCAAACGCTGAGAATCTCCCTTCTTCGCATCTTCCCAATTGCGATTCCTCCTCCTTTAATCCGGTAAATACGCCATCTTTGCCGATTAACTCCTCAATTTCTTTTCTTGGTGAGTACTTAATTTTTATTTTTTATGTTTCAGTTTTTTTCTCAAACTGGCCCTTTCATCCTTTCATTTTTTTTGTTTAATTGTTTCCTGAATGCTATAAATTGGTGTTTCTTCTTTAATTTTGCAAGACCCGTAGTTCAATTCTACCTTTGGTTTTAATCATTGATTTTTTTTCAGAATTAGAAAAAGTGGTTGAAGGCTATAGCTCATCATTCATCAAAGATATCAAGATTTGGAATTACTCTCTTCTTCCAGGTTTATTGTTTCTTCCTAAATTTTATTCTTATATGCCTTCTAAAATAAGAAATACGGAGTATGAATCTGGGTATGCAAAATGTGAAAAGAAACAAAGGATTGAAGATTTAATAGAATCTCAAAAAATAGCCCTTCATAATTTTTTTATGTAGTTTGTATAATTCGAAGTGTAAGAAAAGTGTAGTTAATATGTACTTCGTTCTTTTTCAAACCAAAATCTAAACAATTATTTTATGACCCTGAACCACTCATTTTTATGTCCTAGAGCCATGAATTATTGAGTTGCACAAGGCCATCTTAAATGATTGGGCGGCACTGATACTCGGTATTTATGAATCATGAAGTTTAGTTTTTTATTCGATTCGATATCGATTTCTAAATTCATTCTGCGAATATGAATGTACGTTAAGCCAATTTCTCTTGATTTCTCGATTTTTTATATGTGTTCAGTTGCAATTCATTTTGTTGTTTTTTAGCATGGAGAAAGAGCTGATTTTTTTGTTAAACCGTTTCAATGGGCTGTTTTAAATATTTGAGTATTATGTAAGATAATGAGAAAGGTTTCTTTTTTATAATATTCATTTTCTCTGTCATGATAAATGAGCTTGAGCTTTGGATGCTTTTGAAGGTTCCATGTTGATCAATTGGTGATGTTAAACTTTGTTTTTTTGTTTTCCTTTTCAGTTTGGTGGTGCAGAAAAGTGAGTTTTTGTTATGAAACCAATGGAACATGCAACTGGCACATGTTGTAGAATAGTGATTATGAACTTGTTGAGTCATACATGATTAGAGATTTAGGTTGTAGCCAAATGGAAAAGATAGGAGCAGATGGAGATGATCTACTACCAGCATTGCCTAGAGTTGATAGATTTGGATTTTTAAAACAAGAACATAGTCATTCTAATGGTCTGGCTAGAAGCAAATCAGCCTACGATTATCAAAGGTTTGAAATTGCTTTGATCATTGCTAAGTTAAGGTTGTTAGGTTGCAGGCCATGCATTTCTCTTGTGCACTATCAAAGGTTTTCTTTTTTAATATAAATAGTGCAATGTTTGGAAATCGTCTCTCTACTTTTGGATAGGGGTAAGGTTTGTGTACACGCACCCTTCATAGACCCTACTTTTTGTGGGATTCTACTGGAATTGTTGTATGAATATTGACATATAGTGATGTTTTGTTACTTTTAAACAAATATTTTGTTGAATATTGAGATGTTTTAGTAAGCATCACCCCTGGATAGTTTGAAAATATAAAAGAAACTAGTGGTACACAAAGATAACAATAGGGGCTGTATTACTTATGATGATATTGAAGGAGTACAAAACACATATTTATATAGTAGTAAAGATGGTCCAAACAGTGGGCTAGGACTACATAGGGTTTCCTATTTAGCTTGCGCATTTACTTGGCATGGTTCTTAAATACTCCATCAGTCCTAAAAAGTCCTTTTCATGTGTATAGAGTAGGGTTCTGATAATCAGAAAGTAATTGGTTTTTTTGAAAAAATATTTATTATTTTACCACAAATTCTCAGGGATGAAAGAAGGATAAGAAAATGGAGGAAAATGGTTGGTGTTGGAGGAAGTGATTGGAAGCACTATGTTCGGAGAAAACCTCATGTAGTTAAACGGAGAATACGGAAAGGAATTCCTGATTGTCTGAGGGGCCTTGTTTGGCAGCTAATTTCTGGAAGTCGGGATCTTTTGCTCATGAACCCAGGAGTATATGAGGTAGACATTACCAGTTGATGTTAATCCACTTTTTTTTTGTGATAATTTTGCTTCACTGCTGAATTTTGATCCTACCAGTAGTAGAGTACAGGTGGAGAGAGTTTGACCTCTTGAAAATTTTGAGTAGTGTTTTATAAGTTGGCCTGGGTGACAGGGCATATGAGTTCATCCAAGGCGGCAGTAGATGGTGATTAGGTGCCAACTAATGTATTCTTTTTCCGTTTTTATGTTTGTGTGGGAGATGATTAAGGTATAAGAGTGGTGCTTAACTTTCCCATAACTCTAACTGACAACATATCACATGCAGATGAAATGTGCTATCACTAATATTGCACTGTGTTGTGAGGTGTCATGTAATACGCTAGCAGTTTTATTTCTTTTCGAAGGCGTTTGTGACTTTGTGCTAAATACGTCATTTCATCATAAAAACAACAACAACAACCCAGTTAAATCCCACAAGAGTAGGGTCTGGGGAGGGTGTGTGTACGCAGACCTTACCCCTACTCGAAAATAGAGAGGCTGTTTCCAAAGAGACCCCCGGCTCAACGTCGAAAGTTGCATTGCTTGACTAACTGCTACTTCATTAATTAAAGAAGCGCAGACAGTTTAGAGTCATTTCATCATGTATTCTTAAAAAATGAAATTCTGTCTAGATCCTATATCAAGTATTGATTAATTGTTAAATTTTAACTGATGTTTTTAAAGTATAAAATACTCCCATAAAAATTAGTTTGACCTCAAATTAAAATAATACACGTAAATAAGTTTGGGAGGAAATATTTATAAAAATCTATGTTTTCTAAGCCCAATTAATATTTGTAAAATAATGCACGTAAAATGTTCATTATGAATGTAAACCCATGGATATTGAACTCATTATAACTTATAAGTGTTGTGTTGTGCAGCAACTAGTCATATATGAGACTTCGGCTTCCGAACTTGATATTATTCGAGATATTTCTCGCACCTTTCCTTCACATGTATTCTTCCAACAGAGGCATGGACCAGGCCAGAGGTCTCTTTACAATGTTCTTAAAGCATACTCTGTATATGACAGAGATGTTGGATATGTGCAGGTGCAAATTCTATTGATTGAAAGAATGTTGTTCTTGACTTCTTTTTCTTTGAAACTGTATGATATTTCATATTCGGAATCCCGCCTTATTGCAGGGCATGGGATTTGTGGCTGGCCTCCTGCTTCTTTACATGAGTGAAGAGGATGCGTTTTGGTTACTGGTTGCCTTGTTGAAAGGAGCAGTGCACTCTCCAATGGAAGGAATGTATTTGGTAAGGCTTTTTGTCATAGATTTTCTGAAACCAACAGTCCAACACCAACAAGGGTTATTTCATTGCATTTGGAAGAAAAACAATACCACCCTCATTTCCTGGGATTAATTGGGTTTCCTTAGGCCCTTTCGGTGTTTTCTTATTTCATACTCCCTCCGTCCCAAAAAAGAGGTTCTTTTTTCTTTTAAGGAAAAAAAAATACTAAAAGGCCCTAATGAAAGAAAGTTGTCCATTCCAAAACATGGTTCATGTTTCCTTTTATTTGATCTCATTCATCTTTAGGTAAATTTCAACCACACAATTTCACTTTCTTAATAAACATGCCCGTCGAACCAAAAACCTTATTATGTGACAGAAGGAGCATATGATTATTTAATGAGTCAACAAGTGTATCATTTTGTCTCTGTAGACAACAATTGCTCTATAATAGTCCATATCTTTAATTTTCTTGCCACTTTTCATTTTGGATTGTCCCTAAATTACTTTTCATTTCTTTTTAAGAAAGCATTTGTATGGTCTATATTGTTTCTCTCACTTTCGAATCAACCACAATCACATAATTTCTCTCTCTAACAATGTGTGCCAAGTCAACATGGGAAGTTAATTTTAGGACAAAGGGGCTATCATTTTCTGTAGAAATATTGAGAGAAGGCATCCTAAGTTCCGAAGCATGTTTCGTAAGCTGGTTCTAATATTCCTTCTACACAAGTACTGTAGACTTGTAGAGTGGAAATAAACTTTCTTCTTTCTTTTATTCTTCATCTTCCTAGAGTTCAATTGTCATTCAGACTACATTCATTCCTTCACTTATCTCTATGGAGTTCGGTTGAACAGAAGTATATGGTTACAAGCATACAACATACTTTCATTGGGAGTGCCACTTAATCAGACGCCTTTTTTTTGGCCAAAAAATAAGCCAAATAATATATCATTGCAAGATTGCAAGTGGTAAGTTGTAGAGATGGTGAATGAGTGATCAGTGTAAGTCTTTGGAAGCTTCGGTAGAGGTGAAGCGGTAATCTTACTTAAGCTTGAAATTGGACAAGCCTTCTACCCACATCTAACTTGAGCAATGAACACAAGTGATGGTCAACATGAGGAAATAGATTCACAAAGGATCATGTTAAAGTATAACAAAATAACAATAGAAAACCATAGCGGTTTGAAACCTTTGGGTCTTGTCTATTATGTTTATGGCTCGTTTGGTACATGACACATCTTTTCATTTTTATGGTATATTCATCTCAAATATTTTCATGTGTTCCATAGTTTGGTATATAGCAAGATTTATTCCAAAATCCCAAAGCACAAGGAATCTTCCCACCCTCCAGTTAGGTATTGCTTTTTTCCATTCGTATTCCTCCCTCTTCCCTTTCAACCCAACCGTAGAATTTGAACTTCTTTATTCTTCACCTATTCTTTTATCATAGAGTTTTAATTCCCTTCATCCTTTATTTTTTGTGTACCAAACCATTAGGGTCCATAATTTTTGTAAAAGTATTTATGAAGAATGAAGTTGGAATATATAATTTATTTGTATTACTCCGTAATTAAATATAGTAGTTGATTGTTTAACATGGCACCAAAGCTAGTAGCCCTAGACGTGAATCATTTGTTTATGTTAAAGTTTTATGCGATAAAGTGATAAACAATACCCATAGTGTTGTTCTTCGCTTCTTCCTGTTTAACATCGAACTACATAAACCAACACCACCCATCTCAGGCAGAGCTCCCACGCACCTCCTGACAATGTTTTTGGGTGAAATTTTCTAGATTAATTTATCTCCCTCCAATGGCCTTACTGGTGAAGTTTTGATAATGTTTCTTGGATTTTTCCATAAATTTGATTTTTGAAGTACCTATATTTTGAACCTTGCATGGATTGAAATAATGATGCAGATCAGTTAGAGTTTAGAGGATGCTTGAATGTGCACCATTCAAATTTTAATTGATTTCCAGCATTTAAGTTTCCAAAACTTTGGTTGAAGAGAAGTTTAAGTTTCAAAAGTTTAGGTTTTTGAGATGTTTGGTAGCCGTAGATCCTATTATCTGCTTATAATGCTTATAAGCTGAATAAGTAGCTTTTGACTTGTTTGCTTGGAATGGATCTATAGAATTCAACGATTTTAGGGACCGAGGGTGTTTCAGGTGGGACTCAGAACTGACTTTTGTGGAGGATAAATTACATGAATCGAGGTTAAGGTGTTTGGGCACGTGCAGATGCCCATATGAGGATGTGTGAGGGGTAGCGGCAGAGATCTGAGGAAAGGTAGAGGCTAGAGGTAGACTGAATAAGAGTTGGGGTAAGGTGATTAGTTATGACATGTTATTTGTGCAGCTACCCCTCACACATCCTAGGAGAGTTTGGAGGCCATAGATTAGACTTGTGATGTATTACTTGTAGGGACTTCTTTATTTATATGTTAGTTTTTAGTTTTTTACTAATCCTTTTTTTTCCTAGTTGTTTTACCTTTACTTTTTTCCTTTTATAGTAGATTGTTCTTGAGCCGAGGGGTTTTCGGAAACAACCTCTCTACCTTTTGAAGGTAGGTGTAAGGTCCGCATACTTCTACATTCTCTAGGACCTTACGGAATTGTTGTTAGAAATTCAGTCACCATTTCAGGCTAGTGACCCTTAGTAAACATGCCATTAATGTATTTTAGCAAGCTTGGGCCATATGATGCTCCAGCCTCGGGGGGAGTGGTAATGTTTTGCAATAAAACCCCTAGGGTTTAGAAACCAAAGGGTGCATTAGACTTGGTCTCTAAAAATACGAAAGCTGTATTTTAAAAGTCATATCAATAAATGAGTACTTTATTATTCAACAGATCAGAGGGACAACTTGAGGATTTTGGCCAAAGGCAGATTCCATAATATTCCCTCTACCCCATTACATAAGTCCCACTTTTTTGGTGTCCTACTATTATGTCCCCTTTATTGAACTCCGCCATTGTTTTTTTCCGTTTCGAGTTTACCCTTTTATTATGATTGACAGTTTGACACGTTGACCCTTTTGCCCAACTTTTTAAAAGGTTATCTACCTTTTAGAAGGTAAATCTTGTATAATCTGTTTCCTTAAAAATCTGGCCAAAAGCTATTGTGGCAGAGAGAGTATTTCCACCTTGAGGATAAGATGGTTTTGATGGGAAGAAAAATGGTACACTCGTGATATTATTGGTGCTGTTCTGGCCACCATCTAGTTAGTAGTTGTTATCTAATAGGGAGTTGTAATCTAAGGGTCTAGTTATTTCCTCAACTTTAATTATACATGTAAGTGTACATTGTACTTTGTATATGGATAGTGAATGAATATGTTGGGTGTCTTCTTCTTTCTTGTGTTCTTCCTGGAATTATGTTGTCACTTATAGAACAATCATTTATGCTCTCTCTAATTTCTAAGTTTGGGCTGTCACTCAAAGCATAGGCAACAAATCCAACAATCATAGTAACAATCTCTCAGAAGACAGTTTTTTCTTCTAATTGTTTGCAACTTTGCTTGCTTTTGCATCCTTTCCCTAGAGAGCTAAAAGAGTCATTTTTGACAATGCATTTGCTTAGTAAATGATAGAGCAAATCAAAATGGCACATTAGACTTTCCTTGCTTCATGCTTTCTATGATGTCAAGGGTCTAATGGAAACAATTTCTCTATTTTTTTATAGGGTAAGGTGGTGCACATCTTGACCCCAATGGAGTTGGTGAAATATCCGGATCTGATTAGATTTGAGCTGATCTGGAATCACATTTAGATTTTGAAAATTCATACACACACAGAAGCATATGACTCAGACGGTGTTATAGCACCTACTGGATGAATGATGTTAATATAAAAAGCATAAAGAATGACACCCGATATGTTAACGCAGTTCGGAGAACCCATGTCCGTGTAATAACCCTCAATTAAATCACTAGATTCAAGTTACACCGGTACATAATAACATGATGACATGATGAGACACTTCTCTGAATTGTTATGACAAAACCTCTGATCTAGGATTTCTAACCCCTACCATGTATGGATCTGCTTTGGCTATGACATCTCCATCGAGATCTCGTCAACAAATGTGTTGGCGGCCTACTCGTTCAGCTCATGTTTGACTTTTGGACATCACAATCATTGCACATTGAAGGACTCTATTCATGTTGGTTATGACTTCTTCACGCAACAGACGCTCCGGGACGTGACGAGAATGATCTTTAGATCAACATATTTTCTGCATTCTTCTCTCACAATCGCGTCAAGAAATTGTGTTTAAAATTTAAATAGACCTCTTCAAACCCAATCCTAGTAGTTATTGGTATGTAGAAGTTGTCTTGAATACAACTTTAATCTTGATCCACAAGTAGGATACATGCTACTAAACACCAGCTGGATTTGTTATAAATAAATCCAAGTATGTAGTTGCAGTCCCAATTGGTCTCTGACTCTAATTTTGCATATTGCAAACTCCAATTTCGTACAGGGCAGGCTCCGTCATAGGGTGTTTCACCGGATGTTGCAGCATCTTCGAAAACAGCAACTCTAGGAGTCTAAATAAAAACCTGTCCTAATAAAAAAAGGTTTCTACCTAGTAAAACTCATAATAAATATGAGTTTCTATTTTGCCAAAAGATTAGCCAACACTTGGAACTAACAATTGGGACTTGGAATTATACTGGGGTTTGTTGTTGTTGTAGACTCCATTCGTCTAAAAAGTACTCCGTCCGTCCCGAAAAGATCTATATGTTTAGTATTCACAGATTCAAACTATATCCTCTTTCTTTACATGTTTTCATTGATTATTTGACAAAGAAAATAATAGTTCACCTCTTGTTTTATAGATCTTTTGTTGTAGTTTTTAAATATATAGATTTTTTTTTATTTCTACACAAATTTTGAAATAAATTGAATTGAAAATAACTTCAATCAAACACAGTAAATTGCAACGTAAAATTTTTTTTGGGATGCAGGGAGTAAGAATTTGGCTTCGCGAAGATTTAGAGAAGTGTTAAAAAATGAAAAGTGTGAGGTTGAGTTTTGTTTAGAAGAGAGAGATGTTGAAAGCCATATTTTTGTTTTCCTTAATAGGAAAGTAATAAGGTTTGAAGTTTATTTGGGACAACCCAAAAGGAAAGTGTTACTTTTGTGTCGGGACAAAGATAGTAGTATATTACATTTATATATCAATGTTTGGCAGTTGTGACTACTTTATATAGCTTTTACTATGGAGTGTTTTCATTCACTTGAATGGTAGTGAGTTTGTTCACCGTTTGGACTAGGTTGGACTGCCTCTTGTACAACAATATCTCTTCCAATTTGATCATTTAGTGAAGGATTTTATGCCGAAGTTGGGGGAGCATTTTTCCCATGAAATGATAAATCCTAGCATGTATGCAAGTCAGTGGTTCATAACTGTTTTCTCATACTCTTTCCCATTTCACTTGGCTCTTAGAATTTGGGATGTATTTCTCTATGAGGTTAGCAGATTTATTATCATCTTCTTCATTTACCTATCCTTAGTTTGAACCTACTATAGTTCTTAC